TATTAGGCTCAATGAAAGGCTTGAGGTCCAAAATGTACAGCTTTAAGACCCTTATAAGAGTAAAGTGATGAAAAAATCAAAAGGCGTCAAAAAAAAATATAGTCAAGTATAAAATTGCATTGGAAGATTACGTAGATTGTTTGAAAAATTTCAAAGAAAGTACCGTAACGCAGAGAACGAGTCGGTCTTATCAGCACAATGTGTTCAGCATTGAACAATCGAAAATTGCACTAAGCTCATATGACGATAAACGTTTCCTAGTTCCCAATTCTTTCAATACTCTTCCCTGGGGCCTGGGGGTATTATAGGCTTGTTGTTGCTGACGAATGAAAGTATTGTAAAGTTAGGCATCATTATGTTTTCTATAATAATAATAATTAAAATATCTAATACTAATACTGAGATCACATTATTATTAGATCTAGTTCGAGGAGTACTATATCGTCGGTTTCATGACATAAGGCCCTATCTTATTTTTAACAAGTTTTCAGGAGAGCAATTAGAAGAATACTAATACCTATTCATATTTCAAGATAATGCCAAGGGTTTCCTCACTTTTTTAACGAAATGAACTGATTTTAAGATAAGACCCTTGGCTAAAAACAAGTATACACTAAATGCAACCAATCTATGAACTTAACTCATTTTGGCCCTATCTCGAGATAGGGCCTTATGCCATGAGACCGACGATATGAAATAGTGTTGACTAGAGAAACTGGATAGTTTTTGGACCCGCCTACCTAAAACTCTCCTGGTATAACCCTCATGGAACTGAGGATCTGCCAAATTAGATACTCTTCGTTTAAGCGATTTGATGACAGCAATCTTATTGAAAAATTTTGGGACATTATTGACACTTCCACTAACATATGGATCTGGTAATGTTCTCGGAAGAGACCGCTTGCACTCAATTAAAATTAGGTATATAATTTATCTGTAAAGAAAGTGTATTTTATGTACTACATAACAGTATGGTTGGTTAATTTTTTTTTAAATCTTGAAGCCAGAAATTGAAAGAAAAAAAAGCAGATTATTTGAATTTTGCGCTATATTTATGCACCAATCAAAAATTACTGCTTGTCAAATTTCCATGTTCCAAAAGAATACTTTTTTTTTTTCTTTTTGAACACATCCGACAAAAAAGGAGGCATATATTTATCAAAATCGCTTTGCGTATCGACTTTGGTACAGCCCTACTTTTGACTTGAAACTTGAAAGAGAAGAACGACATCTATCAATTGAAGTATCGACTAGTATCGACAATTTTCTTTGCTTGTCTATAAATGCGAATTAAACAAAGAAATCGATATATGTACTAATCCGGCACAGTATAAAGTACGGAAACGATAAAAGCGATTTTTGTTTACCATAGGTTAGTGACACCTGGCTGGCCAATTTACCTATCATCACAAAATAAACAATAATTAACAACAGAAAACAGCAGGCTGGGGCAGTGTAATTTGAAGAAAAAAGAAAAATGATGTTTTTGCCTGGGAAAATTTGAAAAGGTCTTTAGTTATCTCTGGTCTTTAGGGAAACTGGAAGGTATGGAATACAGACACATAAAAATTATACTTGTGTTTTATTCCACTTAAACCACTAGAAAAATAATAATAATTTTAATAGTTAGGTAATTATTGTTCATTTTGTTTGTGCGATGGAGGATGGAAGAGTTTGTAAAAACCGATTCCGGAAACTGGCCAGAGGTGAGCATAGATATGCTTTCGGAAAAAAAATCACATGGAGGGTAGGTACTAGGTATTAGTAAAATGCAGGTGGAGTAGAGCAACCTTCTGCAAATAATGATTCCCTTATATGAATATTAGGTAGAAACCTCTAAAATTTACAAGCACACACTAGTAAAAAAAATTTAAATGAGTACCTAAGGTATTCAATTATGAACGACATAATGGCCTTATGCTCGGGTTTATTGTTTGTTTCTTGATGGTTTGTGTGCCTTCTCTGCCTTCTGTCAGTTTTGGAGTTTTGGACAGACAGATAATAAATAATAATAAATAAATAATGATTATAATGAATTGAAAAGTTGGGTTAAGTTTTCCATAGGGATGAGAAGCGATTCCATATTACAAATCTGTGTATTCGATATATCGATTTAGTTGTCGCCCCAGGAAAAGTTTACATGGAATTCTTGACATCTGGGCAACACTGAATGAAATTGACCAATAAGAAATTTGGTGCCGTGACGTCACGGCACCAAGAAATTTGAACTTCAAATCGAAATTTAGAGCCTTTGCAAGTCCGAAAAAAATCGGAAAAAAATACAGTTGAGCTTAATTTTGACTCCTCTTTCCAATAAACAAATGAAAAAAATTCATGCAAGAGGTCCATTGGTGACATTCATTTTTAGCATGAGTTATTTTTCTTTCGAAAATGTTTTCTATAAAAAAATATTTGGAACGTAACAGCAATGGGTAAACCAGCCTCACCTACTTTTGCAAATGTTGTTTATAAAGGAGTTAATCTCTTTGGTTTTACCACAATTACCATTCGTAGTACCTTTCTTGTCCCTATGTGCGAATGATATGCTGACTACGATTTCTATTATTGCTGAATATATTATTTCGGATTGTTCCAACACAGCAGTTTTAATTACAATTCGCAATTTAAGAACCAATAAAATCGATCTTTATCCAAAATATACCAGATATTAAAAAGTATGATAGTGGAACGCTGGGTAAAAAGTGCGTTATAAACAGGTTAGTCATAACGTAGAGACCGATTTTCTTGGTTCTTAATTGAAATATACTGAACCAAATATTTCCAAAATTGGAGAATGCTTCGAGCATAAAAAGACCTTCAAAATGAGTAGTTATCACTCGTTTCATTTAATTTTTTTTTTCCAGATGGCGTCGAGCCCCTATTTTCAATCATAAAGCTGTCAATTTTATGTCAAAAGGTAGTATTTGGCAACCTAAAACTCACCAGTAAATTTTTAGTAAACACCTGACTGCATTCCAAAGTTAGTAGGGGAGACGGCCTTTATATGTAAATACAGGATGTTTGGTAGGTCGATGCATATATTTTGGGAGGTGATAGAGTAAGTCATTTAGAACCTATTTAGTCAAACTTACCTTAGTACCAAGTCTTATGGTTTTCTAAATATGGCCGATTTAATTATTTCTTAAACAAATTTAATAACTCCTTTGTTGAATGTGATATTCAGAAATACCATCACAAATTATCACAAAAATTAGCCATTACCAAACTGTTTACTCATTACAATCTAAAAGTAAACATTTTGTTTGTAAAAAAAAATAAAAAAAAAGTCTAGTCCAGCTTTTTCCCTGAATACTCATTTTTGGAAATCTGTAGTGTAACGTGATTTTTGTGCAGCAGTCCAAAAAAAAAAAAATTTTTTTTTTTTGTTGTATGTGCAATTTGGAAAGGCACATGCGACAAAAGTTTTTAAGTTATTTTGAAAATCTTGGTTACCTTTATTTTATCCCATTTTCCGAAAAAACTCATTTTGCAGTTGAGTTAATACTTTTTGTGACTTTTATTTATTTTATTTTTATTGTTAATGCATTAAACACAAGAATTACAGATTATGTTGAGATACAAATAAAAAAAATTGAGATGGTATTTCTGAATATCGCCTTAAAGCGCCCAACAAAGGATTTGTGAGATTTTTTTAAGAAAAAATTAAATCGACCATATTTTGAAAACCATAAGACTTGGTACTGAGGAAAGTTTGACTAAATAGGTTCTAAATGACTTACTCTATCACCTCCCAAAATATATGCATCGACCTACCAAACACCCTGTATACCTATATAAGAGCGGTGAGAGATGGCAACACTGGTGACCTCGAGGGTGTCGCGATCTCCCGATCGGGGCAGTTTTTCAGTTCATGATCTGTGCATCGTTATCTTATCTTATAGCAGTTTGTACTACTTCACAGTAAATAATCTATCCTAATTAATCAACAAATAGTAGTTATTAATTTAGTGTACGTTATCAACAAATTTTATCCAGAGATATTAACAAGAAGCGTGCAGTGCTGAAGGTAGATGCTGACCCACCCAAGCGAATACAACGTGAAATCATTACCAAGTCAGCAAATCAGGAAATGATTGGGGTTTTTTGTGTTGAACACGACAGCCTTTAACAAACTGAAATGCAATTCATTACATTTCTTGTAAAGTTAATGTAAAACCATAACATATCACGATGCATGAATTCCAGCCAGAAACAGTGCTGTTATAAACACGATCCGGAATTCAAATACCAAATACCTTAAATTTTGTCATTAATTAGTAGCACGTTATAACCTCGGATAGAACTTAACTCTATTCTGCACGCGATCGAAATTACATTTACATTATAAGCTCGGTTACCTATCTCGGAAAATAAAATGGCACTCCATAAAAATAAGTTTTTCACTGTTGAAAAAATTCCGTTTACCTTTAATTGAAATATAATTTCAATATTTTAGTTTTCCACTTAGCTTTGTAATTTCCAGCAGACAGACAAGTCCAAAACGATAGTTTTTATTCTTTTAGCAAAAAATATTGGTAATAACTTAGAATGGTATATGGAAAAATAAATTATTAGTAGTATTATGCTTGCTTCTCAATGTACTGATACTAAAATATTATACTTATAATATGAAGAATATCATAATATTGGCTGTCTTGTTCAATTATCAAAAGAATTCTGCGAATACAGTTTCATTTAACTTAAGTAAGTACAACGTAAATAGTATTTTTCCTATATTCACGGACCTAGTGAATATTGCTTTCGAAGATACGACTTCAGTGTGCTCCATTTTCGAAAAAAATAATGTATTTTCAACTGTATTACTTCGACATATCAAAAAACCAGTATTTGCCATGGAATATAAAAATTTAACTCTACCTTGGTCAAGATATGGCTTCGACTGTCAAGGATATATTCTAAATATAGACGATTTCCAGTCATTTCAGATATTTTTAAATCAGAAGGGTAATAAAACCCGTATGCTTCAACCAAATAGGAGAATGGTTGTATTATACCATGATGAAGCAAAAGTACATTTCAAAAAGTTACTAGGCTCATACGCAATTGACGTAATTGAATTCGAAATTCCCTGTTTAACATTGGGCTTTAACGACAGATGTAGTAAATCATTCAAAGTGAGGCATTTGGAAAGAGAAGAAGTGATATTTCAGTGGAATATGAACGAAATCAAATATTCAATCAATAAGACAAAGTTTGTAAAACGCGAATGGGACCCGTTAATCTTTTTCAAAAAAACCAACTATACGTTTACATTTTCTATTTTCAATTGTAATCCTTTTATTAACCTAAAAGATGGGCGTGCTATAACAGGAACTGAAATTGATTTAGCGAAGGAAATGACAAAAGGTTTCAGGGTAAAATATTTAATGACTGGTAAAAATATAGGTGAGTTTCCATGCAAATTACATATGGGCATTAGTTTTAATGTTAATATAGAATGCTACCTTTCACAACTAAATCACTGCCTTATTCATCCATTTTCTGAAAAAAAAGCTGCTCCTATAATTTACGACATATGTCAAATTAGTTTACTTGAAATATCAAATCCATATTAGGTCACTGTTCGGAACGTGGCGCTCTTGTAAACGAGCAGACAACTCAACTTGATTATCATATTTCTTTATGGAATAATTGAATCCATAATATTGAACAAAAAATGTAAAACGACCAAATTAGTGGAAATAATGAATAAATTATGCTCTGGTGGTAATTCCCGAGCTTGGTCGTTAAAGCTGCCATCTAGCGAGGAGAAAACGCAAACTCAATTACAAGAGCATAATAGCTCGAACTAACCCAAACAAATTAACCCATACTTAAAAGTCTTTATGGTTCTAAATACATAATGGATTACATCTGCATCAAGTACCTATGTACGACAATAAAGTTTAAATTATAGACTGTTTGGAGACAAACAGTTTTATTATATTTTTATTTTTTTTCACTTGCTGCGGAAGTCAAAATCTCAGCCTAGAAGGTTATATTTTTAATTCCATATCATTTTTTTGCTTTGTCTTTCTCTCGAATTTTTCATTTTAATCATCGTAGTCAAAATTGACGTTGCCTTGAGATTTGTCGGGATTATACACAGAAAAAACATATCATTCAACTGAAGTAAATTTTGCGTCCAATGAAGTAAATATGTTTTTGATATGGTCGAAATACATGTAAACTTGAGTCAAGTTGATAATGTTGTTGAAAAACAAAGTGTAAAATTTGTTAATTCATACATGAACTAAATTGAATTAATTTTACATTAATTAAATGAAAAACTTGAGAACCAGGACTCAAATTTATATTTAGTTACATCAAGTTTCTCTTATCTTTGAATAAAGGTATTAATAATGTTTTCAATAATATATATATTTAATTCAAGTACATTTTAGTTAGAGTTAACAAAGTATATAATTGAATGAACTGCATGAAATTCTTCTTTCCAATTTTTCCACACGCCAATATCTTCTCTCAAGTAAATATATTTTTAACCCAAGCAAACCCTATTTGTCCTAGGAATTTAGGATGGGGGCCCCGCTTACCAGAGGTAACCTGCTCCGTTGTCCGCCATTATTGCCAGTGCTAAAATAATGTATATTGTTTCGCTTATTTATATTAGAAAGAATAAAGATAGATAGGACTCACCTTCAAAGACAGAACTGAAATGTGGTGGGTTATTTTTTTCCAGAAATTTCTCTATATTTTTATTCTATTAAGTATACTTATTCACTTGTCACATCACTCACATAACATAATATATCCAGTATACCAATAATCACAAATCCCAATATTATTATAATACCAATCAATCCAAATCAAAGCTCAGATTTCTCAGAATCCAGAATCGCGAGTAGTTAGACGTGGAAAGTGAAAGGAGAGACCTGAAACCTAATCGATTTTTAAGGAAAAACTCGTCGCGTCTTGTAGAGTGTGCATAGGTACCTGTGCAGACTATAGACAACTACAAGTTAATGTTGATAAATCGGAGAAATTTTATTGACCCATCGCGATATTGATATTTCATTGAATCAACTATTTCAGTATTTGAAATAAGATAAATAATGTTATATCTACTTCATGAAGGGCTCGAGTTGAACCACATATATTCCAAATTTTGCTTACAAACACTGTACATATAATGACATATTTGAATCAATTTTTGCAAAGTTTGTCTGAAGCAAGTTAATAAAATCTACTTGAGGCAAATATGATATTCTTTAGTCAAGTTTCAAATCAGTCAAGTTTTTAGTGGGGGAAAATCAATTACATCAACTTTCTTCATTTAAGCTCAATAAAGTTAATCGAATTGAAATTTAATAATGCCAACTTAGTACGTACTTTTTTTAACTAAATAGGGGTCAAGCACATTATGTAATTGTTATAGTCCGATTTTTTTCTGTGTAGATATTAGAAGGGGTCAAGATATTCCGCTGATTTTTCTGATGATTACGGTGATTATACGTTTTCTGAAATTTCTTTTACTGGATTACCCGCTTGAAATAAAAATTAATTAATAACGGATAGAATTGTGGATTTCGAAGAAGTGCCTGTTCAGTTCTCGTTGGAACTTTGTGTACGATAGAAAACTTTCTAATATCTCTTTCTTGGTTCAACTTATTGTGATGCACGTAGGATGCTTGATGGGTCGATAAAGACCCGAGCGTAGGAAGCTCTGTCATATAACCGAAAAAGCCATGTCATATATAGGTCTTGAAAATCATTCAACCAAGATTGAAAACTCCTTAAAATAATAATATCAATTTTTAATGTGTCTAGTTATTTTTATCGTCTGTGATATGATTCACAGTGTGTCAATGAATTTAGTGGCATGCAAGCATCAATTTAAAGTTGATAAAAAATGTTCTTGCCTCAACTAGGATTACCTAGGAGAGAAGGCAGTATGCATGTGTCCGGAAAAGTAAGGAAACAAAGTGTATTTCATGCAAATTTTCATTTATTGAAATTCAGCGTAGTAGAGCGCTTTCGGCTTTCGGCTTTCGCCATCATCAGTACTACTTGTCAGGTTCCGACACAGAAGTTAAAATTGTAAAAGGACAGCGACGGGGAGGATAAAAACCATTACGACATGACGAGAATTACAGATCTGTACACGATAAAAGGTCACAAACAATATAAAAAGCACAGGGTCATGGAACGAGTGAGCGACCATCTACGAAGGCGCAAGAAAGGCAGTTGGCAGGAACAGGACCAGAAAGTCATTCGTCGAGTATCCATGACGTTAATTCAAGGGAAGAACAGCCACGCATACATGAAGGTAGATCTGGGAAGTCAAAAAGGCCGAGCGGTCTAAGGCGCTGCGGTGAGGTCGCAGTCCACCTAGACGGGCATAAATATTACGTAAAAGAAGAGATTAAATCATCATGGATATAAGTGGAGATATAGACGAAAAAGAGGAAGTGGTGCGTCTTGGTAGTCAGATCGGTACGATCTGATTTGAGGGGAAGGCAGTGTTACGAAATTGCCTCGGAAGCCCGACCGGATTTTGAGAAATGCCAAGCGTCGTGTAAACAATCCACCAAAAAGCCGACAGAAGACAAGAAGACGAAAAAAATATCGATCTCGGAGTTCAACTACCCTAGTCGCATTTAACCAAGAAATCCGAGAATGGATGAGTAGCTAGCTTTGTTATGTCACCAGCCCCAGACGATATAGGTATAGCTAACAAAGCAAAACTTATTATTCAAAGAAAAAAAAAAGCTTATTTTCTGAGAGCTATCAAGTTACTATCTAATTTTCAATCTGTTAACTTGTTTATTTAAATTTTAATAAAGATTTTTTGAAAACGGAATCGGCCGTTTATTATCAATGTCCTGTGAGGCAAGAGCGGAAAGCGTGAAAATGTTGCATTCAATCATTCTAATATTTTACCACTATATGTTACATGAACCGCACAAAATAAATTACCATTACCTACCGCAGTTGTCAATTATTGATAGATAATCAAACGATATTAATTAAGAAGTAGTATTTTTGAGCACAATGATAATTTAGCTGCCTTGAATTTTCAGCCGATCCATGGGCATACACGAGAGAAATGGTTGAAAACGGCCAAACAGATATGGCTGGATGTTCTCAATACATAACCAACCTCTGGAAACATCCTAACGTCGATTTTACTGTGAACCAAAACCAAATATGTATGACGTTTTTGGTACCCAAGGCCGTATTATTATCGCCATATTCATTTTTATTCCAGACATTCCAGATTAGTGTTTGGTTAATCAATATCGCAGCTGTAGTTTTATTTAGTATGCTCTTAATATTTTTCTTTGGATTACTACATAATATACGAGAACTGGATTGCAATAAAGTTTTCATAAGTCTTATGAGAGTCTATACAGCTGGAGGAATTTCTATGAAATCAAATACAAATAATATTGTAACTTACAGCAAAAGTTTTTTCATGTGTTTATTATTGCATAGTTTTTTAATATCTATATATTATAGTGCCGGACTTAGTAGCATGTTAACATCACCGAGATTGTCCAAACATATTAATACTTTTGAAGATATGGCAGCTCTGAAAATAACTTACCAAGAATATGATGATCCCTTTAAAAAAGAATTTGAAATGAATTCCACTTTGTATCATATATTTGCTAATTTGTTCCAAAAAGGTAGAAGGGAAGATACAACACTTGATGGCACTGAAGCTATAATTGTGAAAACTTTGGAAAATTCATTTGTCACTGATGTGGAAGGGTTTGATACAGAAAAACTTAAAAAATTTAAACCGTTGAAAGAATGTATAGGAAATTACTACATGGGATTTGCTATACAAAAAAATTCGCCGTTTGGAAAACGATTTAATACTATTGCTACTAGAATGGCAGCAAATGGAATTATGACTAAATGGTTAAAAGATCAAATTTTTTACAATAAGAAAAGTCAAGATCCATTTTTCACCACCTATTTTCATGAAACAAAACACGCAACGATTAACTCGGAAAGATTATTTGGTGCTGTTATATTTTTAACAATAGGATATGTGATAGCTATAATTATTTTTATACTAGAAATAGTTAATAATCGAGTTAGGTTAGGAGTTAGGACATACAGGCATTCAGAATAAAATTTAGGAAATTTAGGAATCTAAAAAAAAAAAAATAAAGCTTTATTTCCTTCGCTTGACAGACTGTATAGAACTATGAACCTAACATTGCAATCTTAGCAAATCTATAGGTACTAATATAATGATAAATGAAGCTCCATCCTATTGAGTTGTGGCGAAATTTGAACATAGTACTTTTCTAATCCATCCATATGAGTTACATGGTATTAATAATATCGAAGCACTGTGCAGTTCCGGAAACTCGGTGACGCTTGAACTAAAAGAAATTTTTCTGCCCGTTCTGCTAGTTCTATTCGTTCCGGCGCTTTTCTCCTCCATATTGGCCAGCATTGTCAAAGTAACGAAAGACGGTGACTTGACTTTGACACAAATATAGAGTGACATTATGATCACGGACTTCACGATTGACTTTCATGCAGACTTTTGTGCAGAAAACCTGCTTTCTCGAAATCTTAAACCATCCACTCCATCCAGTATTCGGATCATCCGGGCCGATAAATAGTTTCTTCTTGGCCTATACCTATATGAGCAATAGGTACCTACTACCGAGTTTGTGAGCTAATCGAATGTTTTGGAATCTTTTCTGAGAGTGAATGTCTGCCAAACAATATTTACCGGCTTGTTTTCGTAATATTATCTTATATTTTGATGATGCAGTAAACTGTGATCCAATTCCCGCTAATTCAGTTTAATAGATAATAAGGAGTATTGAGTGCATTGCATATATTTCCGACAAACGTTATAATTTTTCAAACAAATTTGCCGTCGTCTCCCAGTTGCTGGTATCGATGCGGCACTTTGCCATATTTTCCTTTAAAACATCTTTGTAGCGTTTTTGTTGATCTCCTTGATTTCGTTTTCCCTCTGAGAATCTGTCGTGGAAACGTGTTTCGGGCATGCGGACGAGATGACCTGTCTAGCGCAGTTGATGCTTAATGATGAAGGCTTCCATGCTAGTTGTTTTGGCCTCCTCTAAAACACTAATGTTCGTTCGTCGGTCTTGGTTCATAGGATCCTTCTTAGGCATCGCTGGTGGTACTTTTCTAGGCTTTTTATGTGTCTTCTTTAGGTAATCTATGTTTCGCAGCCATATGTAAGTTGTGTAGTGCTACAACTGCATTGTAGACGCGATGTTTGGTCTCAACGATTGTTGGAGACTTCCTGTAGAAGTCGCCCGAACACCGCGCTAGTACACTTCAAGCGATGTTGGATTTCAGCGTCAATGGTTGATTCGCTGACGGTGGCTACCAAGGAATGGGTAGTGTTCTACGTTCTGCCAAGAATGGTCATTTATAGTGATATTTGTGGCCTGATGATTAGTATCCGGTGCGGGTTGGTGCAGAATTTGCGCCTTATTAAAGTTGACCTTTAGGCCGATTCTCCTGTATGCCTGGTTGAATGCATTGATAATTTCCTAAAGATCTTCATCTGTATTGGTCATCACAACGTTATCATCCACATATTGAAGTTCAATTATCGAGGTCGTCTGTACTTTCGTCTTGGCACGTAGTCTTTAGGTTGATTAAGCCGCCATCAAGTATGGACAGGATTTCTACTGACGGCAGGTGATCCTTGATAAGGTGAAGTATGGGTCATATAAAAAGAATAAATAAAGTAGGTGCAATAACAGAGCTCTGTTTAACGGCTGTAGTTATTTGAAAAGACTCTCCTTTTCTACCGTTGCTTAGGACGGTTGCATTCATATATATTATCATGCAGCATGACTCCCAAACTTTGCCAATATCTTCCTAAGAGCTTCTCTGTTGTCAGAATCAAATGCTTTCACTAAATCTATGAAGGCCATGTATAGGGGGCGATTTTGTTCCCTGGATTTCTCTTACATGCGTCTTGCACTGAGAATTATGTCAGCTGTATCTCGCTTGGGTCTAAAACCACACTGTGTCTCTGGGGGCCGTTTTCTCAATAGCCAGTCACCTCCTGGTTGGTTTTAACTTCAGGGTAAGCGTATCCAGTTGCTATGTTCACCCTGGAGTTATGCTTAACCCGGGGGTGCTATTGAGAAACTGGCCCTGGGAGCTTGCCGGCAGTTGGGATTAGACGATTTGACAATATCCTGGCAAGTATATCTTTCCCACAATAGAAAGTAAAGATATTCCTCTATAATTTCTACATTGAGCCTTGTTTCCCTTTTTGAAAATGATCACTATGGAGGCATCTCTAAGTTCGGCAGGTATGGTCTCAGTAATTCATATTTTACTTATTAGGATTAGGATGTGGGTTTGGGCTCTTAGCGTGGGGCCTTCTTTTAAAAAAAATCAGTAGGAATACATTTAGTACCACCTGACTTATTGTTTTTCTCTTTTTAGTTGTCCGTTTGTTGTCCGCCTAGGTTTTTATGGTTCAGTTTGCTGTGTTATGGGCGATGCCCTAGAGGGAGCTTTGGCAAGGAGATCAGCCATTCCGTTGCCTTCAAGGTCAGCATGTTCCGGTATCCACATTAGGGGGACTTTTGTTTTACATCCCTAGTTCACTCAGTGGCTCAGTGCTTTCCGGCAGCTCCACTCCGTTCTTGATTTGCAGTAGGTGGAATCAAGTGCTTTAAGAGCTGCTTGGCCGTCCGAACATATTTTTATCGTTTGGTGAGTCTGAGCCGGTTTTCTAGCCTCCTCACTCCCATTTCAATGGCACGAACCTCCACTTGAAATATGGTTGCATTTTTCCCTGGACTGATTGATAACCTAGTTTTCGGGTTTGCGCCGTAGACGCCCGCTCCCATGCATCCCGCTTTCTGTCTTCGATCCATCCGTAAACAGACACAGATCTGCTTTAAGTAGGGCAGCCTCATTCTGCACCCGCTCTTGGTGCCTCCTATGTTCCTTATGTCATCCACGTGGTTCCTGCTCGTGTGGTACATTCTGTAGGTTGTTTTTAGGACCTCACTTTCCAGAAAGATATGTAAAGGGGGAAATCCTAGGAGAAGCTCCATAGCTGCTGTTGGCGTAGTACGAAAAGCTCCCGTCTTTGTAGTCGGTTAAGCTTGGTTTGGGCGGTGCATTGTTGCCCCTTTTCCCAGCAGACTACTGAGCCCTCTGTTATTATTGGTATGATGACCATGATATATAACTAATATATTTGTTTGGGCCTGATTCCCCATGACTTGCCACATATCCTGCGGCAGGTCCATAGTGAGTAGCTGGCTTTCTGTTTTATTTTGGATGGAAGTTCCAGGTAAGCCTTTTATCTAGGGTGATTCCTAGACATTTGACTTCGTTTGCAAAGGGCACCATCGCCCCTCGTGAAATGAGGAGTATCAGACGGTCAAGCTTCATTTATCTTGTACAGGGCACTACAGTTATTTGCTGACGATTTATTGTCATACCCTTTCTCTTGTACCATGAAGTATCGTGTCGATAATTTCCGGAAGAGTTTCGGAGAGTGCCGTATATTCCGATTTTCCCCTCATTATAATGACTAGGTCGTCTGCGTAGGCCTGCAGGTCGACGTTCCACAGTTGGATCATGGCCAGCAAGTCATCCACCAAGAGGGTCTCCAGAAGTACTCCTCCCTGCGGGCATCCCCTAGCAGCCTTAAACTGTACCTTTTTCACCTGTAGGGTCGTGGTTATATTCCTGTTCTCAAGCATTACGCGAATCCAATCACAGATAAGGGGCTCGATTCCTCTGGAAATAACCTATTCATAGAGGCTGTTGAGAGTGTTGTGGAACGCTCCCTCTATGTCGATGAACGCTGCTAGCGCAATCTCCTTGTTGTCAAGAGACTGGCTAATTTTTGTGACTAATCTGTCCAGAGCTAGTTCTGTACATTTGCCACTCTGGTAGGCACACTGATGAACACAACGGGTTGTACAAAGGGAGAATTTTTGTCGGTTATAGGTACAACGGGTTGTGCCTTAGTGGCCCTTTCCTGATGCGTACGTCGAGCACTTTCTCCAGACTCTTCAGCAGGAATTACGTAAGACTTATTGATCTGAGCGATTTAGGTTGGCGGTCCGTCCTGCCTGCCTTGGGTATGTATACTAACGTCGTGCTTGTCCAGCTAGTTGGTATATGACACCAAAGCTAGGCTAGATATGAATATTCTGACCAACGATGTTAGTAGGAAATCCATTCCGTTTTGGAGCAGAGCTGGAAATATTCCATCCATCCCTGGCGACTTGTGAGGGCGGAATGATGTTATCGCCTCTCTTATCGCATGCAGTGTGACAATTTCATTAACATCTCGCGTCCTGCTTGGGGAGATATTAATAAGGTGTCAGTTATTTGGCTGCCCGGAAAATGATTCTCCGCCAACAGCTTTAGTGTTTCTTCCCTAGAGCTGGAGGTAGTGAAGGCGGCGTCGGGTCTTTTAATCGTTCCCAGCTCCTGTAACGGTTCTCTAGACAAAATCTTGTTAATTCTGGCACTCCTAGGTGCGTTTGATACGCCTTCACAGAACCTTTTCCACGAGTCTGTTTTTGATTTCCTAATGGCTTTTTTATAGTTTGTTAAGGCCGCTCTATATTCTTGCCATTCTCCAGTACCCTTAGCTCGATTGAATAATCTACGAACTTTTTTCCTGGAGTTGTTTAGGTTTGCGTTCTACCAGGGTGTTCCACCCTTAGCAGACAGTTTTCGTGGTATGCTGACATTACTGCAGTGGTCAGTTGATCCGCGCGTACTCCAGCTGTTCACAATTGTTAATTGCAGTAGGGACATTCAGCAAGTTAGATGCGTCGCGATAATGCACTGTTTGTCTGGAGCCTACACTAAGCTTGAATTGTATGTGTTAAGGATCCGAGCACGATGGCTCAGTAGAGCCCCTCCAGTCAGTGATTTTGTTGCTCAAAAAGTTCGAGCTGATTATTATATCAAGTACTTCACTTCTATTTCTAGTGACGAATGTTGGTTCAGAGCCGACAATATTAACAGTAAGTACCTACCCTAATAAATAGTTGAATATTGACTCAATTATTTGATTGGTATCCGTGCTGCCGCACGCAGTGTGG